ATTTTCATCATAGGTACACGTCAACTATGACAGACAAAATGAGGAAAAAAAATCCAGAAAATCACATTGTAGGATTTTTAATGAATTTATTGGCAAATGATGGTGGAAAATAAGTATTTGGTCAATAACAAAAGTTTCTCAATACTTTGTTATATACCCTTTGTTGGCAATGACACAGGTCAAACGTTTTCTGTAAGTCTTCACAAGGTTTTCACACACTGTTGCTTGTATTTTGGCCCATTCCTCCATGCAGATCTCCTCTAGAGCAGTGATGTTTTGGGGCTGTCGCTGGGCAACACAGACTTTCAACTCCCTCCATAGATTTTCTATGGGGTTGAGATCTGGAGACTGGCTAGGCCACTCCAGGACCTTGAAATGCTTCTTACGAAGCCACTCCTTCGTTGCCCGGGCGGTGTGTTTGGGATCATTGTCATGCTGAAAGACCCAGCCACATTTCATCTTCAATGCCCTTGCTGATGGAAGGAGGTTTTCACTCAAAATCTCACGATACATGGCCCCATTCATTCTTTCCTTTACACGGATCAGTCGTCCTGGTCCCTTTGCAGAAAAACAGCCCAAAAGCATGATGTTTCCACCCCCATGCTTCACAGTAGGTATGGTGTTCTTTGGATGCAACTCAGCATTCTTTGTCCTCCAAACATGACGAGTTGAGTTTTTACCAAAGAGTTATATTTTGGTTTCATCTGACCATATGACATTCTCCCAATCCTCTTCTGGATCATCCAAATGCACTTCAGACGGGCCTGGACATGTACTGGCTTAAGCAGGGGGACACGTCTGGCACTGCAGGATTTGAGTCCCTGGCGGCGTAGTGTGTTACTGATGGTAGGCTTTGTTACTTTGGTCCCAGCTCTCTGCAGGTCATTCACTAGGTCCCCCCGTGTGATTCTGGGATTTTTGCTTACCGTTCTTGTGATCATTTTGACCCCATGGGGTGAGATCTTGCGTGGAGCCCCAGATTGAGGGAGATTATCAGTGGTCTTGTATGTCTTCCATTTCCTAATAATTGCTCCCACAGTTGATTTCTTCAAACCAAGCTGCTTACCTATTGCAGATTCAGTCTTCCCAGCCTGGTGCAAGTCTACAATTTTGTTTCTGGTGTCCTTTGACAGCTCTTTGGTCTTGGCCATTGTGGAGTTTGGAGTGTGACTGTTTGAGGTTGTGGACAGGTGTCTTTTATACTGATAACAAGTTCAAACCGGTGCCATTAATACAGGTAACGAGTGGAGGACAGAGGAGCCTCTTAAAGAAGAAGTTACAGGTCTGTGAGAGCCAGAAATCTTGCTTGTTTGTAGGTGACCAAATACTTATTTCCCACCATAATTTGCAAATAAATTCATTAAAAATCCTACAATGGGATTTTCTGGATTTTTTTTTCTCAATTTGTCTGTCATAGTTGACGTGTACCTATGATGAAAATTACAGGCCTCTCTCATCTTTTTAAGTGGGAGAACTTGCACAATTGGTGGCTGACTAAATACTTTTTTTCCCCACTGTATGTACTGTCTCTCACCCCTCCCCCCTGCTCCTTCCTACACAACGGGGGAGGCGCGGGTACCTGCCCTAATCATCTTCCTTCTTAGGAAATAATGTCATTCGTACTTGTAACATATTTTCATAGACCTATCTAGAATACTTCTAAAGCTATCTAATTCAACTTTTAATACACGTAAAAACTCTCTCTCCCTACACCCATTCCCTATTAAATAAGTGAGTCTTTCTATTTAACCCCAACCACGCTACAAATCTTCCATTCAACATCAACAAACCAAATACTCAGTAGTATCCCGTTACCATTCATACCAGCCGTTGAATTCACTCATACACACAGATTTCACCTTATGCCATTAAAATGCCCAACAAAACATAATAGTTCAATGGAACCCTCCATTGGCTCTCTACTATTTGTACATTACTTCTATAACCACATTAGTTATGGTCCGATTACCCATTAAACCTTATCACATAATCAACCAACGGCACAACCTTAAACTCATATGGGGCGGCCGGTAGCCCAGTAACCAAGAGCACCGTGTCAGCAACCGAGAGGTCGCCGGTTCCAATCCCCGAGCCGACCAGGTGAAAAATCTGCCGATGTGCCCCCGAGCAAGGCACCCAACCCCAATTGCTCCTGCAAGTCGCTCCGGACAAGAGCGTCTGCTAAATGACCAAAAATGCAAATGTAAATATTCTCTACTTTCTCACCCATGACGTACGTCTACGTTTGGGTGAGAAAGTTCATACGTATATCGTTAGAAATGTATAGGTACCTCTCAAATAATCGCTTCGTGGTGTTTTTAGCCAATTCTTAATCGACACAAATCACTTCTTCAAACATTTTACCCGTGGAACCAAAAAATAGACTGTCATTTCCCGGACATTGCCCTTTCCCTTAGCTCTGCAGTCGCGATGGTTATGACCTGTTTTGTTACAGTATTTACACGGGGCCTTACACTCTCTAGCAAAATTCTCTAGTTTTTCCTGACTCTCCAAAAGCCATACTCTCGCTGTGTCTAGCCCCTCCCCTCGCTGTTTCTTCAAATTCGTTCCACAGTTTATATGCATCTGCCTAATCATAACCTCTAACTTCTCCACATCGAGATGCCCAATAAATCCATACCTCTTCCCCCGTTAATTCTCGGACCTCTTTAGAATGTTTATTTCCCATGGTGGAAAAATAAGAAATCCCCCCGTTTAGTAATAATTCAATCCAGAAATATTTTCCTGGGACATATTATCTGGTGCGACTCTTGAGCCAATGTTTATGATCTGTTTTGTAATTAACCATTTAAATTATCCAACCCGTAACCCAGAGTTTTTTAAAACCCCAGTTTCATGAAAGGGATGGGACAACCATTTTTTTCTCACGCTACCTATTTTAGTCCCTCCCTTGAAACAATTATCACGTATTTCGATGGACACGATGATAATTATCTCCCTTCCTGTTTATATTGTAAACACTGTACCCCGTACAATCTCAATATTAACTAGTTTATTTTGGTGATGGCCATTCACCTTGAGTCATTTCAGACCCCCTTCCTCCCTTTTAATTCTCTTATGAGATTTTGGTAACTATTCTCTGCCCTCCACAAGAATTACTATTCTCATACAAGTTCAAATAATTACACCAAAATCCATGAATAAAAATTACTGACCTTCTCCTTGCAGTTCGGATTTAAATGCTTTTCAATCTCGTTAACGTCTTTATCGTTCATAAGATTCATCACCGGCCTGTTTATAACCTTAACGTCGAAGGCCAGGTCTATTCTATACGGATGCTATCATCCGCCCGTGCACGGTTTTCGGTGTCCTCAGAACGATAAAGACGTATTTTGAGTTCTGCCCGAAGGACCATTTGTCACGAGAATTTCTATCTCTAATTAATCAAACTTAATGCTCTGAATAATTCCCAGAGGGTGTAAATTCTCTGGTTTAATCATGAATTAGACAAAGGTCCGCAACCAGCAAGAATGGTCTGTATTTTTAATCATGGAGAGCTCTGGCGCCAAAAAACATACATACAGCTTTTATATCCCTTGACACACAAAGGCACTTTGCTCCGCCCACCTATAAACCGTTTCTTAGTCCCCTTCACCCTGGAATGCTTTCAACAGTTTCTAACTTCCCCCCTCTGTTAGTGGGTTGACTTTACATTATAACTCTAACACCGTTCACACATGTATACTGTATTTGGGGTGAAATCCTTTAGTCATTATTCTTCAAATACAAATTAATCAATCATAAAGGAAGATAGTTCCTACATGATAAGAGTGCTTGCTTTGTTATCCAACTGATCTTGTGTCCTTTCTGTCATCCTGTGAACCCCCTGCTCGCTGCCATATTTGACATTTCTTTTTTAACTACATGTTGAACTGTTGCATTTCATACAGTAGTTCTACATTATGTCACTGGGGCTGGAATTCAATCAAACCCACACTCTGACTAAGCCTTGCATTAGGGAAAAAATAGTTGTCGCTGCTTCTGAAAAAGGCACGCTTTATGGTGTAATTAATTCAACAGGGTTGACTGGGTGAAACCAGGCATGACTCATTTTAAATTAAATCAGCTTTAACATTAACCATTACATTGTAATATTCTAATTTTAGCTGGTTCAGGTCTGGGGTATAGCTTTTTGATAAAAGTCCACAACACACATCTTTGAATCAACAATAAAGGTTATTGGAAGCCAAACCCACTGGCTCCAGGTCATCTATAAATCACTTCTAGGCAAATCCCCGCCTTATCTTAGCTCATTGGTCACCATAGCAACACCCACCCGTAGTATGCGTTCCAGCAGGTATATCTCACTGGTCATCCCCAAAGCCAACACCTCCTTTGGCCGCCATTCCTTCCAGTTCTCTGCTGCAAATGACTGGAACGAACTGCAAAAATCTCTGAAGCTGGAGACACTTATCTCCCTCACTATCTTTAAGCATCAGTTGTCAGAGCAGCTTACCGATCACTGCACCTGTACACAGCCGATCTGTAATTAGCCCACCCAACTACCTCATCCCCGTATTGTTATTTACATTGTTATTTATTTTGCTCATTTGCACGCCAGTATCTCTATTTGCACATCATCTTCTGCACATCTATCACTCCAGTGTTAATACTAAATTGTAATTATTTTGCACTATGGCCTATTTATTGCCTTACCTCCATAACTTACTACATTTGCACACACTGTATATATATTTTCTATTGTGTTATTGACTGTATGTTTTGTTTACCCCATATATAACTCTGTGTTATTGTTGTTTTTACAGCACTGCTTTGCTTTATCTTGGCCAGGTCGCAGTTGTAAATGAGAACTTGTTCTCAAATGGCTTACCTGGTTAAATAAAGGTGAAATAAATAAATAAAAGTGTGAATACATTTAAACTTTCATTCATTATGAGGGTATCACCAGCATTATAAATGAACTCTCCGGGAAGACTGATGTCTACATAATGATCTTAGTTTTATTTGGTTTACAGGTGTCATTTCATCTGAAAGAAGGAGAAACATAAAGAAACAGTTTACATATTCAAACAGTCATATCAACCAGAGACCTATGGTATAAAAGTCAGGGACAAAAACAACTACAATGTGATCTTACTCTGCGTTAGTTCAATTCAATTAATAACCAAACAACGATCCATTTGTACAGTTTGAAAAAAACCAACAAATGATCAACGTTACGGCCTCTAGTTATGCTATAATAGTTCACATTATACACGTCTTCCTCTCATCTGGTCTGTAACTAGTTTAAAAGCAGTTTAAAGCTTTGGGTGGGGGGGGTTCTTATGACACACAAAAAGGAATGTTTTTTTAGAGAAAAGTAGGAACATTAAAGCATTGGTTTTTTCATTGGTTCAAGCATTTATTCACTACATTTCAGGGTTTTTTCAACTATGTGTAAATTTTTAGCAAGAGGTAGGTTGTGCGTCTGGCATCAAGAAATACTGTACTCAATTGATAGGTTCCAATTCAGTAACCTGATATCAAAGTATGGACTGTAATACACAACAGTGGTGTCAATTATGGCATAGGAAAACTCCTATATGGCTTATTTTAGTATGGCAAGTGTCCATCTTTGCAAATTAACTTAACATGGTTGGTGCTGAGCTGCTGCTAAAGGAGTTAAGAGAGGGAATATACATTTGGAGAATGCACGACAGTTTGAGGTATCGTTCCTTCAATGTCAAAATGCTGCTTTTTACACTACCTTTTGCTGACAACACACCATTCTTTTTTAAATTCTCAAATTTCTAGCAAACATTTCCCACATCATTCAACTACAAATAAAACAGAAACTAAAATAGCCAACCAATATGAAAATCAAAGGTAGGGAATCCAAAAATGCCAATAATTATAATATTAATAACAATAATAACATTTAAAAAAGGAACTCATTAATAGGTCTTAATTTTGGCAAGATTTCCCATACACAGCAGGACAGCCTTGAGAGGGAAAATGTATAAAAGGAAAGAAGAAGGAATGTTCTATAAAAAGAAAAGCCAAACTTATTGTTAGCATCCTATTCTTTTCAAAATGTTTTGTTTTGTTCAAAGAAATATTGGGTCAACTTATGTCTTGTTATTCAAATAATAAAATATTGACCGCAATTTTTTTCCTTTTGGTATCACACATATCATACTCAAATAGAAAAAAAATGGTAGATAAGGTATTCACAGTAAAAAAAAAAAAAAAGGAAGGCATCAGTGATACCTGGAGTAAACAGTTGATCTAGAACCTTGAGGACAGTGGCACTATGTGGCTTTATTAGGGTATGTGGTGGTAGCTAATCCAATTCTGCACAGAATACTAGATTCAGAAACTGGCAATGAAAGATGGGCCTCCACACAAAATAGAGACACAACTTGTATTGAGGCTAAGTCTTTCACAGCCATTCAAACAGTTACAACACAATATATTTTGAGGATCTGAAAACAAATTTACTTAAATGGAATCCTCTTATGCTTGATGGAGACTTGCCCGAGTATCTCCAGCAAATTGACTGGAATTTTAGTCAGTAGTTACAAAAGGGGGAAAGGCGGTGCTCTACCACAATATTTTTGAACAACACAGATATTCCTGTGCTTAGGTCATTAATAAATGGAACATCAATTATTTAAATGTTCGAATATGTATGAGTTATTTGGTCATAGTATTTCTATAATTCAAAGGACAGTTATTTGGCAATTTCAACTCCATCCTTCTTTTAACAATATATGAAAATATATATCCCATTTTCGGTTTTCAAAGTAAAATGTTATATTGAAAAGAAACTGAAAATGTGTGGAATTCCATGTCTCAAGTGGTCTGTCAGTGAAACACATGAAAAACAACCAGTGAACATTTTACAGTGTTACAGGTGGTTTCATGAATTATCATTGAATTAGTTTTTTTTGGTTTATGTAAGCTGTTGGTGTAAGCTTGCTTGTGTGTTTCTTAGTTTGTCTCGTCATTGGCTAATGGCAGCCCCTTAAAACAGGAACCCAACTGAAAACAACTTTTTTTGGGGGGGAAAAGGTTAATTTAAATTTAATCAAGGAAAGACTGAAAACCGTAACAATCACACATCTTTGGATATCGTTCGACTTGGTTTTCATAGAATATTTTGAAAGTTTTGTTGAAACAGCGGTCTACGACAAAAGCTAGTGTCATTCATGCCTTGTGAGTGTGAGGTAAGAATTGAATATGAATACACATGAAGACAAAATACAAGACAAATTAGTCACTCGAGAAATTGAACCATGGTCTGCTGAACAACAGGTTCCAATGACAACAAAGGTATTTGACGCACTGCAAACCAATCATCTTTAGTTGGTGACAGAAAGCTTCCTGAAAATGGCCGTCTCAGCAACAAAATACATTTATAATTACATTTTGGAATTCTGCAGGAAAGGGCAAGAACGTCAGCAAATTCATCCATAACGGAATGGTGAAACTTGGGCTTTATGTTCCTTAATGTCCATACTTTCATGCAAAGTCGAAAAAAAGCTGTGAGTTCATATTTATCACTCACTTTCTGTCAGGCTTCCAACTTTGTTTCCTGTTGCACATGTCTTCCTCCAGCGAGATGAGATGGTGGCAGCAGCAGGTGGTGCCTTAATAAAGAGACATTCATCTCGCTTTCCCTGTTTGACTGAGGAGACATGTGTGTTGTTCTTGACAGCTTGTTGTGACATCATCAATGATGGTGGTCTCTCCATCACCCATTTGTGAAGCTGCTGAGTCTGAGGTAGAATATGTGCTTGAATCATAGCCATGTGCTTCCATACTGCATGTCAGTAGCTGAAGTGGCCCAACTCTGAATGACCCGCTTAAAATTAAGGCAGAAGTTCAGGGTTTGGACAAATTGTTGAGACCCAATAGCAGGGTTAGGAGCTGGCAGTAGATTCAAGCAGAGAATCGGCGATCAGGAATCATACAATGTCAAACAACATAAGTGAACTTGCAGACCCACAGATCCAACCAGTTACATTCTGGGTAGAAATTGGGCCCAGTGACATTCAATCACAATCCAAGGCCTCCTTCTTTTCTTGACAGGAAGGAATCGAAGAGTGTACCACCCTCTGAACACAAGGAGTGGCAGCTGGCACAGGACTGACATTGGCACCCAAAAAGAAAAAGGAAAAGGGGGTACAGAAGTACCCTTTTGGTTGAGGTAGGTATGCTTGACCAGCAGCACGACAGGCAAAATGGTTACCTTGATAGCTCTGACGTTCTCGTCAGGCTGAGGTAGCTATCTTTGGAGGTAAAACGTTTTGGTGGGGGAGCAGAAAGGTAACAAAGAGTTTGGGATAGGGGTTGAACAAAAATGGCTGAATCTGTGATCCCTTGACACCGGACCGCCTCAAGGCTAACACGGTGAGACAAACTATCAACTCAGTCAGGTTCGGCAAGGCTAAAGCAGACTACGTTACGTAGCCCTGAGGTACAATCTTGTGGAGCTAACCAGAGAAAACCTATCGACTGACAACATTCACTATATCTACTGTTTCACAAGCTGAACATAGAAATCACTTTGGTACTGGCCTCAATGTAAGATGGAGACTAATAGACTTTCTATCTCATCCAATGACTCAAGCTCAATATCAAATAATCTGAGAGCCACGTTCACTGTTCAAACTGGTAAAAGGCCTCAGTATATCTATCTGTTTTTGGCAGAACCTGAAAATGGCACCATTGGCGATTAACTTAAAATTACATAAAATGAAGCTATTTATGGGTTTCGGTTTTAAGAAGATGCACACAGAATGTATAAGGACTATAGTAATTTGCAGTTTTCTTCAGAGATGAGCAAGCAGCATTTTACCTAATGAGTAATCTTGAATAATAAATGGTCTGTGCCCATTTCTTCTATGGCTATCAATACTAAAAATAAAATGTAAAAAAAAAGCTTTCAGCTTTAGTGTAAAAGACACAAGACAGTAAGTTGACTAGAAATGGGGTTAAAATCTCAATAGTTACTCATGACTACATTGGTACTACATTGGTTCTACTTTGTTTTTACTTGAAGCTATTAAGAAATACATTTTTTCCTTTGTGGTATTGGACATTCAACAGAAGTCCTCAACACATCATCTCTTACTCTCAATTTCATTCTCAATCTCTCTCTCTCATTCATTGCTAGAACTATGGCTGGACGCTGCAATAGGCAGACTATGGCTAAGGCGTTGGTGGGCAGGTGAGGTGGAGGAACCATAGAACAGCCATTCATTACTCAGGGTAAAGGGACTGGGGTTGGGGGAGGTAAGTGGAGTGGTGTTTGGGTGCTTTAGCCGGTGCCTGTGCCAGGCTGGCATGGTGGGGGCTGCTCGATGAGGACTTGGCACTGCGCTGGGAGGGCTTGACCCTTAACAACCATCACTGGAGCAGTGATAGAGTCACATCTCTACAGGCAGAAAAGAGAAGGATGGTTATTATTATACTAACCGCTCCATAGGACACAGAAAGCTAGAACTGTGAGTGTGTATGATGTATAATATTTGTAGAATTGTGCATATTACAGCTCCTTACCTGAGGCACTAATTCAATGACCTCGGGCATGCGGATCACCCCCTCTTTTGGTGAGCCAGCCCGCTGGTTCCTGTCTCCTCCTCGGGGCCCTGACCAGCCATCTTGGGTCCCCTTCCTGCAGAAGAAGCTGGGAGAGAAGCATTCAAACATGGCATGAGACCCATGTCCTCGAGTCAAAGTGACTCAATATCCAGGCAATAATAAATAAAGCAATGTGCAAATTAAAATCTAGAGTTATTACACTTCCTATTACTATAAAAACATATTCAAAACATATTCTGCTACCATATTCAATTTGACCAAAAAGTGCCTCCTTACCTGCGGCGGTAGCCAAACATGAGGAACAGCGCACAGAAGATGATGCATGCCATGCCAATGTGGATTCCCACCACAATGCCAGTCATGGACCCCTCGTCATCCTGCCTGCAATTACATGGGCTCTGCCCACCTGGACAAACACACACAAAAATGGGTTGTGTTAGTGGAGAAACAGTAGTGGGGTACACATTCATACGCACACACACCCACACAAACGCCATGACTCACACCATCTGTGGTGTTGATACAGCGATCTGCTTTAACTTTAATATAATGAGGTAAATATTGTGAACTAATTACACCCAGAAAGAGTTGAAAACAAAAGTACCCAAAAAACACATTCCCTGTCCTTGTGTACTAGGTTTATTTGAACAGTGAGAGACAGAATAACAACAAAAAAATCCAGAAAAACGCATGTGTTATAAATTGATTTGCATTTTAATGAGGGAAATAAGTATTTGACCCCCTCTCAATCAGAAAGATTTCTGGCTCCCAGGTGTATTTTATACAGGTAACGAGCTGAGATTAGGAGCACACTCTTAAAGGGAGTGCTCCTAATCTCAGCTTGTTACCTGTATAAAAGACACCTGTCCACAGAAGCAATCAATCAATCAGATTCCAAACTCTCCATCATGGCCAAGACCAAAGAGCTCTCCAAGGATGTCAGGGACAAGATTGTAGACCTACACAAGGCTGGAATGGGCTACAAGACCATCGCCAAGCAGCTTGGTGAGAAGGTGACAACAGTTGGTGCGATTATTCGCAAATGGAAGAAACACAAAAGAACTGTCAGTCTCCCTCGGCCTGGGGCTCCATGCAAGATCTCACCTCGTGGAGTTGCAATGATCATGAGAACGGTGAGGAATCAACCCAGAACTACACGGGAGGATCTTGTCAATGATCTCAAGGCAGCTGGGACCATAGTCACCAAGAAAACAATTGGTAACACACTACGCCGTGAAGGACTGAAATCCTGCAGCGCCCGCAAGGTCCCCCTGCTCAAGAAAGCAAATATACAAGCCTGTCTGAAGTTTGCCAATGAACATCTGAATGATTCAGAGGAGAACTGGGTGAAAGTGTTGTGGTCAGATTAGACCAAAATGGAGCTCTTTGGCATCAACTCAACTCACTGTGTTTGGAGGAGGGGGAATGCTGCCTATGACCCCAAGAACACCATCCCCACCGTCAAACATGGAGGTGGAAACATTATGCTTTGGGGGTGTTTTTCTGCTAAGGGGACAGGACAACTTCACTGCATCAAAGGGACGATGTACCATCAAATCTTGGGTGAGAACCTCCTTCCCTCAGCCAGGGCATTGAAAACGGGTCGTGGATGGGTATTCCAGCATGACAATGACCCAAAACACACGGCCAAGGCAACAAAGGAGTGGCTCAAGAAGAAGCACATTAAGGTCCTGGAATGGCCTAGCCAGTCTCCAGACCTTAATCCCATAGAAAATCTGTGGAGGGAGCTGAAGGTTCGAGTTGCCAAACGTCAGCCTCGAAACCTTAATGACTTGGAGAAGATCTGCAAAGAGGAGTGGGACAAAATCCCTCCTGAGATGTGTGCAAATCTGGTGGCCAACTACAAGAAATGTCTGACCTCTGTGATTGCCAACAAGGGTTTTGCCACCAAGTACTAAGTAATGTTTTGCAGAGGGGTCAAATACTTATTTCCCTCATTAAAATGCAAATCAATTTATAACATTTTTGACATGCGTTTTTCTGGATTTTTTTGTTGTTATTCTGTTTCTCACTGTTCAAATAAACCTACCATTAAAATTATAGACTGATCATTTATTTGTCAGTGGGAAAACTTACAAAATCAGCAGAGGATCAAATACTTTTTTCCCTCACTGTATATACTTGACAAACATCTGTGCAGACCCACACTGACATGTTCTTTCTGTGATCTGAAAGTTTAACTAAAGAGATTTACATTACATTTATCTTTTCATAATATAGCTGACACACTTATCCAGGATGAGTATATGTTTTTACATATATCCCCTGACTAGGTTTGCAAAGCCACTGGTAATTTACCAAAGTAATTTAGGTAATTAACAGAAAATATATGGCAATCTATGGTAATTTAGGTAATTTACAATGCATTTCGGAAAGTACTCAGACCCCTTCCCTTTTTCCACATTTTGTTATGTTACAGCGTTATTCTAAAATTGATTTAATTAATATTTTCCTCATCAATCTACACACAATACCCCATAACGGCAAAGCGAAAACAGGTTTTTATACATTTTTGCAAATGTATAAAAAATTAAAAAAAATACCTTATTTACATAAGTATTCAGACCCTTTGCTATGAGACTCGAAATGGAGCTCAGGTGCATCCTGTTTCCATTGATCATCCTTGAGATGTTTCTACAACTTGATTGGAGTCCACTTGTGGTCAAATTTATTGATTGGACACGATTTGGAAAGGCACACACCTGTCTATATAAGGTCCCACAGTTGACAGTGCATGTCAGAGCAGAAACCAAGCCATGAGGTTGAAGGAATTGTCCGTAGAGCTCCGAGACAGGATTGTGTCGAGGCACAGATCTGGGGAAGGGTACCAAAACATTTCTGAAGCATTGAAGGTCCCCAAGAACACAGTGGCCTCCATCATTCTTAAATGGAAGAAGTTTGGTACCACCAAGACTCATCCTAGAGCTGGCCGCCTGGCCAAACTGAGCAATCGGGGGAGAAGGGCCTTGGTCAGGGAGGTGACCAAGAACCCGATGGTCACTCTGTCAGAGCTCCAGAGTTCCTCTGTGGAGATGGGAGAACCTTCCAGAAGGATAACCATCTCTGCAGCACTCCACCAATCAGGCCTTTATGGTAGAGTGGCCAGACGGAAGCCACTCCTCAGTAAAAGGCACATGACAGCCCTCTTGGAGTTTGCCAAAAGGCACCTAAAGGACTCTTCTCTGGTCTGATGAAACCAAGATTGAAACATGGCACCATCCCTACAGTGAAGCATTGTGGTGGTAGCATCATACTGTGGGGATGTTTTTCAGTGGCAGGGATTGGGAGACTAGTCAGGATCGAGGCAAAGATGAACGGAGCAAAGTACAGAGAGATCCTTGATGAAAACCTGCTCCAGAGCGCACAGGACCTCAGACTGGGGCGAAGGTTCACCTTCCAACAGGACAACGACCCTAAGCACACAGCCAAGACAACGCAGGAGTGGCATCGGGACAAGTCTCTGAATGTCCTTGAGTGGCCCAGCCAGAGCCCGGACTTGAACCCGTTCGAGCATCTCTGTAGAGACCTGAAAATAGCTGTGCAGCGACGCTCCCCATCCAACCTGACAAAGCTTGAGAGGATCTGCAGAGAAGAATGGGAGAAAATCCCCAAATACGGGTGTGGCAAGCTGGTAGCGTCATACCCAAGAAGACTCGAGGAAGACCCAAGAAGACTGTTAGAGGCTCTGGATAAATTACTAAAATAAAAAATGTACCCCTGACACACAAACTGACTAGAGATCATCATTGCTCCACATCGCCACCTGGTGTTTGACAGTACTCTACACATAGGGTACTGATCCTAAGGTCAGTGTTTGTGTCTCACCGGTGCTGGTCTTGGCGCTGGTACCACTCTCAGCCAGTGAAACCAGACGCTTGTTGGCAGCGCTGTCCCCATTGCCGTTGTAGGCCACCAGTTGGATCTCATACACAGCAGCGGGTTCTGAAACAGATGGCCAGTTACTGGGAGGTTGTACATATGGAGTGTGCGACTCTCTTTATTTTTATAGCTTACAGTTAGGAAAATCAACCATAAACAGTTTTAAAAAGCAACACCCTAATACACAGATTTTAGTTACATTCATTCCATTTCAAAGGTCCTTTTGGTACCAGTGTGAGTCATTGCAATCTGAGACCCTGCAGTGACATTGGTTAGTAGTATGCTGCCTCATCACTGACCTAGATGGGAGATGGTGTGGGTGTTGATGTGACCAGGAAATGCTTCCTGCCCCTGGAAGTTGGGCTGGGGGACCTTGCGGTAGGACAGCTTGAAGCCCTCTACCTTGCCCGGCTTACTGGGCAGCTCCCAGAACACCTGCATTGCCGTCTTGTTCAGCACCTTGGTGAAGAAACTGGGAGAACTGGGTACTGTGAGGGGAAAGACCGGGGAGAGGAAAGAGGGGAGAGAGAGAGAGGGAAACAGAGAGGATGAAGGGATTAACATACAAATTGAATTCCACACATGAGAAGACAGATAGAGAAAAGGGAAAGAGATGAGTGAGGCTTCGAATAGACAGAAACAAAATGTGAAAAACTGAAACTAAGAGATTTGACAGAAACAGGAAAAGATAGAAAGGTGAGAAAAATTAAAGAGATAGAGGAAAATATAGGAGCGATAGAGGAACATGAGAAATTAGGCACTCTGATATGCAACCGCTTATATCTCCTTTAATTTCATGATATCTAAATGACCTACCGCCCCCTAGTGTTGTAGCCACAACAGTGCTGGACTGCTGGCTGGCTCCCAGAGGGGAGTAGGCCTTGAGGTAGATGGAGTAGGTGGTGGCCGGCTCCAGGGTGGTGAACTCATGCTGGAAGGTGGTCTTACTGACAGCCTCCTGCAGCTCTCTGCTGTCTGGCTCTGGAGGGGACAGGAAACAGGAAGTGAGGTCATCATCTTTGCATTTTACGACAGGAAGGTATTCAAAAGAGGCAGTCTTGTGTACTTCTAGATGCATAAGTGTCAGCAAAAAAATGATATTCAATTCTCCATATGAATTACATAAGACAGCAAAAATATAGATTCACTTTGGACAATGAAGTAGTATTATATTACAACAGCCTCCTTACCGCCAAACATGCGGATGTGCAGCACATATCCGATGATGCCGTCGGTGACCTCTGGGGAGGGCTGGGCCCAGGTGAGCTGCAGGGTGGTGGGGGACAGGGCCATGGCCGTCAGGTCCTGGGGGGCCTCAAGCAACTCCGTGGACTGGGTGAGGGCCAGGCGGGCACTGGCCTGGTTGGTGCCAGCGCTGTTCTCAGCAATACACTGGTAGATGGCCTCGTCCTCCGTGGTGATGCGCGTTACCGCCAGCGTACTGTGGGGGGGGGAGGGTAGAGGACATTGTTAAGAGTTGGAGTGACCATGATAATGGTGGTGTAATGAATGTATTAATTACATTACTTAATCTTATATTGGCAGATCTAAAAGTAAATGTAGATGAGTAAAAGCATACTACTGTACCTGTTATTGTTGGTGAGCTTGACGTTGTCACCAGGCGTCAGGATTTTGCCGTTCTTCAGCCAGATGAGGTGAGGCTCGGGGACACCCTGGGCCATACAGGTGAACACTGCACTGCTCCCTGCTGGTCTGGAGACAGACTGCGGCCACTGCAAAAACTCAGGAGGAGCTGGGAATAGAGAGAAAGAAAAAGAAAGAGAGTGAGCTTCTCCTATGTGCTATGTAATTAATATATGTGATGCAATGTTCTGCCATCTTTTACTATCTCAAAGACTGCTTTGCAATATTTACATTATGTTGTTTATTTAAATTTCATTTATTTGAGAGGGGGTGCGGAGGGAGATGGATAGGGGATGAGATACTGCTTGCCATTATGGGGCTCAGGGGCTGCTTTGACTGTGCAGTTTTGCCTATGTCTTGCAATTACTATAAAGCACAGTAGAGGGCAGCAGAGATGTTTCAGCAATGCACTTGACACAGATGGACTTGATGTTATACTGACCATACTGGCTGTGAGACTGAGATGAGTTATAAACTTGCCAACATTATGTTTGCGATAATGGACAGTGTACAAGAGAAGGGGAAAAGTACAAATGTGTAGATACAATCTTAATTTAAGTTCTAGGGTTCATTCAATATTTTATATACCCTGCTTGTGCTCAAATTAATATAGTTTAGGTGTCAAATATTACTCAAAGGACTTGAAAAGGACGAAATGTCATTCTGTTCTGTGTTTTCTGTGGTCAGGATGAGTGTTTGCCTCTGAATCCAAATCCCCAAATAATCCACAAACATGAAGAGCCACCATCTCCAACAAGGTCCAGACTCGGACTCCAGCTGAGCATATGCCAAAACAAGGAGTCCAAAATCAAGTTCATGAGCCATGACAGCAGCATCTCGTCCCCCAATTAAAGCGACACTCCTGTCCGTCCCTCTCGTGACACCCGAGTGGAGAGGGGGACAGAGGGGGGACAGATGCAGTCTCTCTGCCACAATGGCACATATCTGTGTGCAAAAACCTGATGCCTCGCCTCCCTCTACACGCATCTCTACTACTACCCCCACCCCCCTCGTAAAAATTAGCCTGCTCACAAATCCATTGTCAGGACTCTGGGAAAAGCGGACCAAGAGGAGAGGGGGTGGGGGGTGTAGGGGTGAAGGGACAGGGGGCATGGGGGGTTGAGGCGGCCATTAATCAATGGCAGGGATGGATTTTATTTCTAACCAGGACGCTGAGCCTAAATCTCTTTGCATTAATAAAGGACAGGAAAATAAAAGATGATACGCAAGCTGGGCCTCTAAAGCTTGTGTACCGAAAAGATAAACAAAAATGCTTGGTTTTATCTTGTGGAGATTTGAGGATATTGAGGAGATATATATCGGTTAGGGTTCCCAGGGTAGCAGAACTTGGATATGACAATAAATTGTGCTAAACGTTTTTATATTACCACAGGAACACGTTTAGTCCTCCTTACAGTGTTTTCTACAGTCTCCCTAACAGAAATCCACCTGAGAGCAAAGCATAGGGCCAAATATTGGTTTAAGTAAAGTTGAAACAGTAAGCTACCATAGATGGCCCTCTAGAGATATCCATCAGCAACGAACTGTCCAATACCTTATGCCTAGCCTGACAGGAGTACTCCAAACAGTCTAGAATACGTGTTTAATAAGTGTGTATTTCACTTCAGCTCCAGCATTGTGGAGAACTGAAATTGAGTTCGAGTAAACCACTCAATCAATGGTGGATATGTGTGTGAGCCTGGTGACAGAATGGCAGTCAGGGTCATTGTCATTGTCATTCTGTTTGCAGAGAGAGCTCCCCAGCTGTCCCAGCCTGCCCCTCTGCAGAAGGGACTGAGGGAGGAGAGAAGAGGGGGAGGAGAGGGACCGTGGTTAGGGTTAGGGTGCAGGTTTGCTGGTTTACTCATTTGCGAGCAAAAGAGATGGCTGCCTTTGTGAGAGTGAATGGGGGCTGCTCCATACTACTGCATTTGGGGGAAGGACGGGTAATGAATCTAACCTCTAGCATCCCTCTCTCCTGTGCTAGAGTGCACTTCACACTTGAACATGGGCAAGGCCATTTATTTAGAGTAGAGATGCATTCAAGCCCTGTTATTTCAATGAGGGTTAGCGGTTCCTATTATTTCAGTGAACTAGAGGAGAAACCTGCAGTGAATGCTTTTCTTTGGGTCTGCCTGTCCCTCTGTCTAGCTGTTTGCCTACCAAAGGTGTGGCTGGACTATCTAGAGTTTTCTGTGTTTCTGTATGTCTTCAGCATCCTGGACACACACACAAATTTGGTCACACACACATTTAGGTCCTCAATCATGAAAACCAATCATAGTCATAGATTGGTTTTCAACTGTTTCGCACCATTTCTCATACAGAACTATACCGAAATATACTGAACTATCCAGAAATATACTGAATATGTTTCCCTCTCTGTAAACCTGATTCAAGTGTCATCAGAGCAATACAATGAGAGGACCATGACCAGGGCTAAAATCTAACGCAACACATAGGTCCCAATCAAACACCACATGACAATTGTGAATTGTCCTAACTTCCCTGGAATATTATGCACATATTCAGAAGGTGTGAATGAAAAGTGACTCTCAGCTTTCCCTATGCATGAGGATGCTAACCAGAAGCCATGGGAATGGGCCTGTAGACCTACACATAGACGTCCCTTAGAATAAGCTGTTTTGCAAACATACAATGGCTGTCGTGTCCCTTTGTGTCCTGAGCCCTTCTGTGTGTCTGTCTGGCACTCGGTGGCCTCTGTCCCCTGAACTTGGCCTTGCCTGTGTTTGTCGCCTGCAGCTGTGACAAAGACAAGTGTCCCCACAGGCCATGGAGGTGAAGCGGGGACCGTCTCGCTACTCTATCAAGGCCTGCCAATCAAAGGCCTATAGCACCAAAAAACCCCATCATAGCTCCACCCCCTAACACCATAACTCAAACCCCATCCCCAACCATCTCACGCATAATTTCATGAGGGCCTGCAGGGAGAGGGTCAGGGGTGGGAGGTCAGAGGTGATCCCTCACTCTGGCACGATTAACTTTGCTCCCCCTCCTCCTGCACTTGGGCTTTGCTAGCATTGTCTGTTTTATTCTGTTTCTATATCTTATCTTTTTCCAGTGCTCTGTTTTCCAGTTTCTTCTGTATCTGTTCTCCCTCTATCTCTCTTTTTTGCTCTGTCAACCTACAGATGCAGGATCTTAATTTGATCGCCCAGTTGCAGAAAAACTTTCCTGCAATGCACTTGTAGTGTATTTGAGGGTTAAAAAGGCTTCTTAAAAGGCTTGTTGGTAAGTTCGACTTTAACATTTCAGACTTGATTTTCCCCTTACGATTTTTTTTATTATCAACCCCCTACAAAAATGTATATTAATTATAATCCACAAAGTAATTCACATTTCCTGTTGCTGCAGGATTATTTTCCTTCTGTAGCAAACTGCTCAAATTAAGATCCTACATCTGTACTTCTCGCTGTCTGTTTTCTCATTTCTTATTTTAATTATCCCTTACTCTACCTCTCCCTGCTCCCCTGTATATCTCTCCTTGCTGTCTATGAGTGTGTATATCTGATTACTGCAATACTCTATTTCTGTATGCATTTGTTTCCCTTCTCGCTTGTATTTATTGTATGTGTACATGTATCTCTATTTCTCCATGCATCTTCCCCTCTCTCTGTCTCTTTCTCTTCCCCACAGATGGTGGCTATGCAGCCATTGTCTGACTGTGGCCTGCATCTGTCCTGGTCAGGTGGTCCACTGGTGCAGCCAATTTATGACCCCCGGCAGCCACAAATGAGTTTGGGGAGGGGGGTCAGGAGGCAGACGCAGCCAGGGAAATTAAGTCTGAATGGGCATCCCATAATATGCAAAGTCAGCCCAGACCGACCCTAGACTTGACTGCATAACACTGAAAAGGTCTGCAGAAGCTAAAGGCTGGTCAAGTTTAAGTAGAATCAGTGAACTTGGGAGACTTTCAGGCACATTGAGGCAGATGGTATTTGACATGAGATATCAAGGGATTGAGTTAACTAGAATTAATATGGTATTTTTTATTGATGTTAGATTTGGGTATACCCTGGGTCCCTGATATAGATGGTGGTAACATTATAGACGGGATTGTTATCTAACCCCACATTAACTGTATGAGTAGTTTTAGAAAGAGCAGCAATTTTATCCACACTAACATACCTGTTTTGATCAAGTTATCAAAAAGCACGGTTAACTAAACCGATTCATATCTGTATATGAACATTGACTGCAATTGTCCTCCTCCAAACGTAGTTATGGTTTGACCTCTTTGTTTTCAAATAAAGTTATGCTCTTTGTTCCTTTTACAAAGTCAATCAATAAATGAATGAATATATTCACCAAGCACAATAAGGGTGCTATGCCAGACCCTGATGTTGAAAGACACAGAAAGCAGATATTGATTGATTGAGTTGGGTGGAGAGGACAAGCTGATAGACTCAGCCATTAACACCAGCTACCAGTATACATTTACAAATGTGTGTACTACAGTGTAATTTGGCAGTGTATTACTGATGTACAGGAAAGTATCACCTGACTAAACACTCCAACTATGAACACATACACACTCACTCTGAAACTCAAACAAACACATATAATTTGAGTGTGTTTGTGTTTGAGTGTGCATCTGAGTTTATATTTGTGTGAGCATAATTGTGAGTTGAATCCATGGGATGAACCACCATCAAGATGATATAGTATAAAACAAGGTATCATGAGCTAAAATAGGTAGAGCAGAGAGGTAGGTATAGAAAGCCTCGGTGAAGTAGAGGTAGGGTCATTTCAGCAATAAACGATATCTCCTCCTTTATCTGTGGCCAGCTGGAGCCCAATATCAACCCATTTCAATAGAACATGTTGGCCAACAGCAGAACACCAAGGACCCGTGCCAGGAGGTCAAAGGTGACCAGAAGAGTTGGGGGATGTCAGTTCACCCTTAAGATCATGATCAAATCCACCAAAGGTTAATATAGTCTGACCTTCCCAAAATAACCCCAGCATCACCACCATCCTACATCCTGCTTGGTCAGGTGCTCCCCTGAGGGAGACTTGAGATGAATTTTCAAATTGACCCCCAGCCCCTACTCCCCCAGGCTCTTCTGTAGATCTGGAAAGATCACATAGGTTTGAACCAGATGCTAACAGTTTCACATTGTCTCCTGATTGGCAGGGTGGAATGTCTGCCATGTTTTTTCTACCTATCCACTCATTTCAGATCTACAGGAGTGTTTCGGGGTAGGAGATAGGGGGGCATTCAGCATAGGCCAGGGAGGCCTAGGCATTGGTCTATTGAGGTGAGTGGTTTCCTGGAAGCTGGTAATGGTGTGTGGGGGATATAATTTTGGGGGTGGGAGATCTGACAAGTGCTGTATCAACAAAGCCAATATTGCATTGTGTGTGTTTGGGATTTGAGGGTCAATACTAGTGTGTTTGGTGTGAGATTGATGGGTACTACTACTCACCCTGCACCACCAGTCTACCCAGCGCGGTACGCCTCATCCTGGTGCCAGGGCGGTTGGCAGAGCACACGTACACCCCAGAGTGTTGCAGGTTGGCATCTGAGATCATCAGGTTCCCCGTACCCAGCACCTGGATACCCTCCACCCCGATGGAGCGCCCGTCTGGAGGAGAAGAGACAGATAAAGAGAAAAGGGGGGAGAGTTAGAGAGCTGAAGGTTTCATCTGTAGCAAACATGGATGACCTATTTAGCACAGAACTACTCAACAATATCAAAGCAGCGTTCAGTCAATGTTCAACTACCAAGGCAACATTGAAGTCTTATATCATGTGTATGTTTGCTGTCACTTCTGTAATCCTAATAGGTGTCACAGAGGTGACAATAACAAATAGATTTTACCAGTTAGCGATAACAAATTGATGTTACAAGACAATACTCTCTGTGGTAGAATAATTTGGTATTGGGTTTGGACAGTGATGTAGGGTGTGTGAGAGGGGACAGTGATGTAGAGTGAGAGGGGGCAGAGCCCTACCCAGCCGACTCCAGGACACGATGGGTCGAGGGTTGCCAGTGGCGATGCACTCCAAGATGGCAGTCTGGTGCACAGTGATGGTCAGGTTCTGAGGACCCGACAGAATCACCGGCTCCTTGTAGATCCGTGGAGCTGCCACTGTAGAGACAAAAAGAGAGAGAGAGAGAGAGAGAGAGAGGACAGGAAATGGTGACAAAGTAAAAAATACAGATATCAGTAAATACACAAACAGATAGGCATATTTGTTATTAGCAGATCTGATCACTGACACATTCAGACTCAGAGAGGACAGCTTCTCTTACCAGTGACAGTGAGCTGGGCCTCGTGGCTGTAGCGAGTGTTAGCGATGTTGGAGGCTACGCAGCGATACACACCACTGTCAGACCGCCTTACACCGGTTATCTGCAGTATCCCCGTGGGCAGGATGGTGTACCTGAATACAGGAAAGGAGAATTATAGTGTGTGTGTGTGTGTGTGTGTGTGTGTGTGTGTGTGTGTGTGTGTGTGTGTGTGTGTCCATGCGTTACCTGTTATCGTCAGTATTCAAAGCGGTTCTGTTTTTCTCCCAGGAGATGTTGGCCTCTGGGATGCCGTTCACCTGGCAGGTCAGTCTGGCAACGCCACCCTCATCCACCGACATGGACTCTGGGTGTATGTGGAACTTAGGGAGAGCTGTGTGTGAGAGAAAATAGATCAGAGAATTTAAAAGACATATCCAAGACTGTTTTCAATGTCCTAGAACCCAAAAAACAACAAAGTCCCTGGAGACAGGTCTTTCTGATAGGCTTAGAGCAACTGCCCAACAACCTATGCGATTTTGTAATCAATACGGTTAGGGCATTTTTCTTAAATGAAAGTTAATCTCCATGGTAACCCCTTTCCCTGAGGGGAGCACCACCAATCCTCCCAAGAGCCATAATTCTGCTGGTTTACCCACAACCCCCTGCATCTCCCAACCCCCAACTGCCCACTTCTAGTTTTATTTGGCCAGAGAGAGGGGTCAGGGGAGTTAGTGAATGAAAGGTTGTCTACTCAGTGGGGGGTTTAGAGTGGGGGGAGGTGCTGTGGTTATTAATGTTCAGTCCCAACTGGGGGGCTGGTCAGATAATGGAGGAAGGGTTGGGAAGGGAGGATTAAAGCAGTCAGGTATGATTTAAAGGCACAATGGGCAGTATCAAATGAATGAACACACATAAAGAATGTCTTGACCAGCATGAGAGACGGTTTATGTGAGATGCTATGTTCACTTCAATGGCTTGCTAGCCATTTCAAAATAGTTTACATATAACTTCTGCATGACATGTAATGTGTCACACATGACTCTTACAGTATACAGTATGTGTATCATGTGTCTTATGTATGACTACTAATGTGTGTGTGTGTGTGTGTGTGTGTGTGTGTATATGAGCGCTCCAATATGTCTCTGTGCCTGTGTGTGTGTGGGTGTCTGTGGTGTGTGTAACTTACATGCCAGCTGAACCCTGGCCTTGCGGCTGATCAACATGCCATAGTGGTTCTGGGCAGCACAGTCATACTCCCCAGCGTCCGTCTCGTTGCTCTCTCTCCTCTTCTGGAAGCTCTTGATCAGGAGAGTTCCGTTGGCCAACACGCTAGCCTTCAGCCCGATGGGAATGGGCACGCCGTTACGCCGCCACGTCACAGAGATAGGCCCCTCCCCTTCCACCTGGCAGTCCAGCATCAGGGGCCGGTCACGCACGGCGATGACATCATTGGGCTCCTTCAGGAAGGCCAGCTCAGAGGCACTGCCCAACACTGGGAGAGAGAAGAGGAGCATGGGAGGTCAGGTACTGCTGAAGTTCTCCTCCATTCAGATGATGATGATGATGATGATGATGGAGGTAAGAGGGCTGATGAAGATGACAAGGGAGATCCTCAGGAAAGAAGTCAGCCACGGATGATGATGATGGTGGTGGTGTTGTTGATGATGAAGAAGAGGATAATGATGGAAGTAAGAGAGCTGTTGAAAAATGACAATGATGAAGAAAAGATGAGAATGAGGATGATAATAATGATGACACACACACACAAACACACACACACACAAACACATACACACACAAACACACACACATACACACACACACACACACAAACAATATTTTTTAGACTGAACAGGCATCAGGAATATGACCTATCACCTACTATTACAGTACTAAACCAATCATTCAGTGATTCCAGTACAGCGCCTTCAGAGGGCCAGAAGTTGAATCTCTCCCTGCCTGCAGGCTTTACAATGTTAACCTCAAGAAGCAGAGAAGGGCCAGGGGTGGTGCTCCTCAGTTTATAGAGTCATGAACGAATTGAAGACCCCTTTTTACGATGCCACTCAACATCAAGGTGAGGGGAGGAGGAGGGAGGAAGACACTGAAAGATGGCTGATGAATCCATCCAAGTGCTGATATCATCAATCTAAGTGGACTTTTTTCGTAAATTATTCTCTGTTAACGACCTAACTATAGGTTTCGTGTAGTGCCTTAAGCACATATCACCTTGTGTTAGATCACCATTGTAAAATATAACTCCTAGATAGTTAGCAGGTTTAGGAGCTTCCAATACCGACAATATATGGCCATCTGGTTCTGGGGAAATATATTGAAGCACCTCGCTTGGTGGATTGATTTATATGAAATAAACAGTGTGTGTTAGAGTTCTTGAGAAATCTACCATTCCTACCCCATTCTCTACTGACATTTCGTATCTTGTTTAATCTATTTTCCATTATTCATCTTGCCCTACAGCTCCTTTATATATACAGTGGGGAAAAAAAGTATTTAGTCAGCCACCAATTGTGCAAGTTCTCCCACTTAAAAAGATGAGAGAGGCCTGTAATTTTCATCATAGGTACACGTCAACTATGACAGACAAATTGAGGGAAAAAAATCCAGAAAATCACATTGTAGGATTTTTTATGAATTTATTTGCAAATGATGGTGGAAAATAAGTATTTGGTCACCTACAAACAAGCAAGATTTCTGGCTCTCACAGACATGTAACTTCTTCTTTAAGAGGCTCCTCTGTCCTCCACTCGTTACCTGTATTAATGGCACCTGTTTGAACTTGTTATCAGTATAAAAGACACCTGTCCACAACCTCAAACAGTCACACTCCAAACTCCACTATGGCCAAGACCAAAGAGCTGTCAAAGGACACCAGAAACAAAATTGTAGACCTGCACCAGGCTGGGAAGACTGAATCTGCAATAGGTAAGCAGCTTGGTTTGAAGAAATCAACTGTGGGAGCAATTATTAGGAAATGGAAGACATACAAGACCACTGATAATCTCCCTCGATCTGGGGCTCCACGCAAGATCTCACCCCGTGGGGTCAAAATGATCACAAGAACGGTGAGCAAAAATCCCAGAACCACACGGGGGGACCTAGTGAATGATCTGCAGAGAGCTGGGACCAAAGTAACAAAGCCTACCATCAGTAACACACTACGCCGCCAGGGACTCAAATCCTGCAGTGCTAGACGTGTCCCCCTGCTTAAGCCAATACATGTCCAGGCCCATCTGAAGTTTGCTAGAGTGCATTTGGATGATCCAGAAGAGGATTGGGAGAATTTCAGATGAAACCAAAATAGAACTTTTTGGTAAAAACTCAACTCGTCGTGTTTGGAGGACAAAGAATGCTGAGTTGCATCCAAAGAACACCATACCTACTGTGAAGCATGGGGGTGGAAACATCATGCTTTGGGGCTGTTTTTCTGCAAAGGGACCAGGACGACTGATCCGTTTAAAGGAAAGAATGAATGGGGCCATGTATCGTGAGATTTTGAGTGAAAACCTCCTTCCATCAGCAAGGGCAATGAAGATGAAACGTGGCTGGGTCTTTCAGCATGACAATGATCCCAAACACACCTCCCGGGCAACGAAGGAGTGGCTTCGTAAGAAGCATTTCAAGGTCCTGGAGTGGCCTAGCCAGTCTCCAGATCTCAACCCCATAGAAAATCTTTGGAGGGAGTTGAAAGTCCGTGTTGCCCAGCGACAGCCCCAAAACATCACTGCTCTAGAGGAGATCTGCATGGAGGAATGGGCCAAAATACCAGCAACAGTGTGTGAAAACCTTGTGAAGACTTACAGAAAACGTTTGACCTGTGTCATTGCTAACAAAGGGTATATAACAAAGTATTGAGAAACTTTTGTTATTGACCAAATACTTATTTTCCACCATAATTTGCAAATAAATTCATAAAAAGTCCTACAATGTGATTTTCTGGATTTTTTTTCCTCATTTTGTCTGTCATAGTTGACGTGTACCTATGATGAACATTACAGGCCTCTCTCATCTTTTTAAGTGGGAGAACTTGCACAATTGGTGGCTGACTAAATACTTTTTTCCCCCACTGTATATATATATATATTTATATATATATTTATTTATTTTGGTCATTTAGCAGACGCTCTTATCCAGAGCGACTTACAGTTAAGTGAGTGCATACATTTTTCATACTGGCCTCCCGTGGGATATTGAAATATCATGTAAAGGTTTAGTCAAAAAACAGAAAAAGGCCCAAACTTTTCCAGTGCTCTATGTAAACCAAGTTATGCATCTCTGCCCAACTAGATGTTGGACACAATCCAGGCCCTTGTGTTCTCAATAACACCTTAATTACCGGTGAATAACAGGGTTGTTAATGAGAGATTAAGAGGGGAAAAAGAGGGGAAAAAGAGGACGCTGGATTACTCCTTGGCTGGGTTTATAGCGCTAGGCTGGGAATCACACACTGATAAATGGCCAGTTTCATTGAGCAAGAGCAGACAGCCTGAAGCCTTAACTCTTCCCCCACAATGAGACCCTGTGAAAAGTGGGGCTGCCTCTCTCAGTGGTGAGCACCTCACACTGTGTGCACTAGTGACAGCTTCATTCTCCAGACGGGGGTGTGTGTGTGTGAGAGAGAGAGAGAGAGAGAGAGAGAGAGAGAGAGAGAGAGAGAGAGAGAGAGAGAGGGTATTGGACTGAAAAAGTGAGAAACAACAGCACAGAGGGAGGGGAGCAAAGAGAATGTCTTCAGAGGAGTCTGTTTGGGTAGTTTTCAGAAGGGTGAACTTGCACTTGACTTTCCTCCAGCCTGATTGATAGCTCTGTTAGTTACCTCCACCCCCCATCCTATTCTGCCTTTCACAGTGCCCCCCCTCCTTCCCAGAGCACGCAAACACAATTAATTCCCCAAACTGCCTTACAATAGTGCCGAATGCCATGGAGCCATTGAAGCAAGAGAGGGCCTGAACAATGCAAGAAGTGGGGAAGAAGGGGGGAGAGGGAGAGGGGTTAGGGGTCAAGTTTGGATGACTTCAATGGAGTCTGGGTGGATGACAAGTGATAGCCCCCCCACACCCCCTTTCCCCTTTCCCCCTCTGTCCCCGTTAGTCATCGCCCACTCGGATGAGAACATCTGCCCCCCTCTCGCCATACCCTCTACTGCACCCCCCTGTCCCCCTCTCCCCTTTTTAACTTGAACTTGGAGGTGACTTTCCCATGCCACCCCCATCGCTCACACTTCGCCGAACCCCGTCACCGATTCCGTCAACACGCCCGTCCCCCCATTATACGCACCATTTGGCGACACCCCTTCTGTTCTCCCTGATTTTTAACCCTCTCTCTTTCCCCTGACCCATTCTAAAGTCCAATCCACCTTTCCCAGCTGTTCAAGATAAAGAGGACAGATGCTGAGCCGAAGAAAAGGTTCCATTCATTTTCGGTCTCTTATGTTTACGTGGCAAGCTGTGGAACTGTAGCGTGTGACGTCTGGATCCCCTGACCCTGTGACCCCTCTGAAGAACAACAATACACACTACCCAGACACAACAAACATCCTCCAATATCAACACAGCTGACCACAGCAAACCTCTGCAACGTTCAAACATCCCACCAAAACACACCAGACAGCTGCTCTTTCTTTCCTAACTCCTTCCCCCCATCCATCCATAGTCTTCCCATCCTCTCCATAGTCCTCTCCCATAGCCCCCTCTCCCACATCAGACCATTCTGGGAGACCCAGTCTAAGCTCCAACTCTTGGCTCTGCTCCAACACATGCTGTGTAATCTCCATTGCCTCCAGTTGTTTTTTTGTTTGTCCAATTAGCCTCCCTTTACTCCATTTAATCCCTCCCCCTTTTCCCATTAATCCACCTCCATTGACTCCCTCTGTAACAAATAACAACTAACCAGAAACTACAGTCTATTCACAGTATAGCTGTGCATCCACACGGGACAGATCCTTAAAGCATCTTAATCTAAATGAAGATATCTTCTCGCTCCAGTAGATACCTGATCATTACATTTAGATTGTCGTTAGACACCTTATAATCACTGACATGCAATTATTCTCAATCACCTGCACTTCCAACAACTATATATTATATGAGTGCATGGGCCATTCTAGGTAAAACTCCATCACTTACACAATCAATGCACACATGGATGCATGCCAAACCAGCAGCCGCAGTACAAGGAATCTCAAACCCTTCGAAACATAACTTATTTTACAATCTCCTCCATATTTGCTCTGCAATATATATACATTCTGGATTTCAATACCATGACCCAGGACCACAGCCTCCTCTGGGGCAGATCACAGCAACCCAAGCCCAGGTCCAAGCTTAAACCACTGGCCTGGAGTCTTAGAACAGGCTCCAAGTCACACTTCCTGACACAGCTGGGAACTTTGGGCCCCAGGTCTTTGTAGTTCAGAACGACTGCTTGCACTACCCAGAGACACTCATTCAAGCTTAACATCTGATGTAAGGGGAAGCAGCGGATAATGGAATACCTGGGGATGGCTATGCTGGGGATGTAAAGAGAGTGAGATGTCGGTCACGGTAACTAAGGATTAGCTGCATGTCAGATCTTCTGTGGGGACATATTGGATTAGCGATACCTGGGGACTTCCATGCTGGGGATAGTGAGAGTGTGTAATGTAAGAAGAAGGGACTATGAGGGAAGCAGTTAAGTGCACAGTTAAGACTGATGTCAAATTGTGTTGATTGAGGCTTTGAGGGGTGAGAGCGCTGGAATCAGCACATGATTTTTGGGTTGCTCAAGAAGGAAACCTTAATCATTTGTTTTTAGTAGTAGTTTTTTTGCATTTGACCTTGAAATCAGAGGCATAAAGCAAATTATTATATTATTTATCATCTATGTATGCCATATAAAAGCAGCCAATCTCAGCTGTGCCTTATAAGTTCCCAGCTGTATTCCACACAGTCAGAATGCAAAGCCCATCTTTACCACTGCAGCCCTGCATTCACCCCTGTGCCCCGGAGTGTGATTAAGTGTTAAGTTTAGGGATAAATTCGCCACCCATCTGGGTGCTTATAATAAGCAGAAGGGGGGCTATCCAGAACCCTAGCTTTCCCTCACACTCCACCCCCCAAAATCCCAAATCTTCACCCTCAGCCCCAGACTGTGACCCCAGCCCCTAAAAGGTCATGAGAGAGTTGGGTGAGGGGACTGAGGGGGCCGGGGTGGAGGACAGCTTGCATTCGGTCACCAAAGCACCCCCCTACCCCAGTCCCTTCATTGTTTATTGTCGCCTCAGACTTGGCAGTGAACTTCACAGTTTCCATTGTGACTGTGGCGTGAAGGTGGCTAAGCCCCCCAGGACGATGAAAAGGGGGTTCAGGGTTGAGGCAGAGAAGGCAAACACAAGTAAATCCCTTCATTGGTTGCGTCCTCTCTATATTTATCCCTGTGTGGGTTTGTATGTTTGCTAGTGAGTCAAGCCCAGTTGCAAGTGTGTCGCAGAATCCTTAATTGACTCATCCCATACTATCCCCTCTCCCTAACCCTGGGAATCCATGCATGAAGGGGAGAGGCCAACTTTGGAAATAGACGGACACCATAGTGAAAATGTGCGCTTTACTTTATTCACAGCGCTTTCTCACAGTTTTACAGTGTTGATAAGCTCCATTAGGTGAAATGGATGAGATCAATGACCATGCTATAATGAGCTTGATAGAATTCTAAAGGCTTAGTTGTATTATCAGCTCAAGTTGTACCACAGGCAGACCCTCTGGTATAGGCTGAAACATGTCTTATTACCAGTGGATACTGCTATGGCCAGCAGCTTTCTCCTTTCACCTTTTCCTTCACTAGCCTCCTTCACTCTTCATCATAGCAGAGGGATAGGCACAGATGATGTCTACTGAATTAGGCCCATGCAGGCAGGCAGGCATAATGGATAAATTGGAGGGGGGTAGATAGGCCTGTATAAGTGTTGGGGACTGATTCCTGGGCCCAGCTGGAATTGAGGATTGGGGGTGCTGGGGGTGGGGCAGGGGGCTGTGTGGATTTGGGGACTGACGTCGCAGGGCTGGGCCTATTGTCCCACTAATAGGAGTTAAACTCCCCTCTCTACCCCTCTCCCAGCCCCCCTTGACTAGCTGCGTGGCACGCTCTTTTCTTTTTTATGGCTGGTGATGTTGCACCAACGGATCTGCTCCCAGCATAGCTCCTCTTCTATTGTTTAAACACCCACTTCTTCATTAATTGCCAGCCAATTTGGCATTAGTGTGTGTGTGAACACGAGACCCTTTTCCCATTCACTTCCGCCTACAAGCACTTCCTTACACAACCATGGGTGTGTTCAGCAAGGGTAGGGGGCATTTAATGACCAATAATTACAAGGGGTGGCATTGTAGGAATGTGGGCAATGTTGGCAACAGACCAGGCATCTATTATGCAACATTTTGAGATAACATATTTAACTTGTCTGTTATTCATCATTCTACAACCCTTAATAGCCTAGTTAATGACAATATATTCTAATGACAACACAATGAGATGATTAATTCATCAGTATTTTAACACTTGTTCTAACTACTTAGAATATGCTCCAAGCATATTTTCCATTTATTTTTAACAGAATCTGTATTAAAGCGAAACTCACTTTCCTCAATTTTTCTCACATCCAGTTTGCTATAAGGGGGTTCGGCCTATACTTTGTTCAGCACTCTGTGGCCATGTAAAAACAACACAATCAAAATAAGACAGATCCAAAATTAACCAACTTCGCTTTCCCTTTGCCTCGGCCTGAGTTCCTCAGAAACATGTTAGATTGATGCAGTGGAGCGCATTTTGTCAAAGCAATCGCAACCCGAATCGGGATGACCAAAATGTATTGACATTGTTGCACAGAAATTGTCTATGTCATCTTGTATTGCTGCTTGTGAAAGTGGCTTCTGTCAAGAAGTCAACATCAGGTCTCACTGACCACCAGCATCTGACCGAATGGATTTCACTTTTAAGAACATGAAGTCTAGTTTATCTTGAATTGAAAACAATGCCAGAACAAAGGTTGTTCCATATTTCTATTCAGTAAAAGGGGCATCGGTATTGTTTCAATTAAACTGGTAGATAGAGATGGACATGTTTTTCCAATACTGTCCTCAGAATTCACTTTTCAGGCTTTCTTGATAACTTTCTTTCTTGAGGTCAATAAACCTCAGTCTGTCTTTCTCTTGCTCTTATAAAAGGTTTAATTGTATAATGAACACAATTATATTTTCAATTTCTGTTCATCCCACCTCAAAGGGCATTGGGAGAATTTTGCTCTCAATGCATGAGACTCGTGGTGTAAATTGTTCTTTCACCAAGCCCATGATACACAGGCAATTTTGTTAGGCAATATCAATCTTATTGACTAGGTGGCCTTGACGATTAATTTTCCCCAGATAATAAAACGATTCACATTTGCAATGGAAAAAGTTGCGGCAACCATTGCATCACATTTTTTTAGGTCTTGCTAAAAGTTCCATAAAATGTAATGCATCTTGAAACGTACAACCTGCAAACTAGATGTCATTCATAACTGCTGTCAAAAAGGGTTATTGAATACCTAAAAAATTTATTTGGTCTATGCATGTAATTAACTCATTTCTTAAACTGTGGGGAACGTTCTTATCCCTCATACACACAGCAATAACTGCCAGCAGCACTGTTTATATGAGCCAACTTCAGTCTTATTTGTTATATATGAACCCCAGCCACATAAGAGGTGAAGAAGTGGGGAGGCCACCAGGGAAGGCTATGAGGCTATGGCACAGAAAGCAAATAAGTCTGAAGGAACTAGGGCCAAGCTATCGGGCCTCATGGCAGGGTAGTGCCTTGGCCCTGATTCCACCTCATTGTAGATCTTTGGGATTAACACCCCCAGTCAGAGGGGTGTCTGGTTGAGATTAGGAGAACACTGTCTGTGCAGGCTTGGGGAGAGTGTTTGTGTGTGTGTGTGTGTGTGTGCGTGCATAGGTTTTAGGGGATGTCTAATAAGGCAGCTGCAGGGTGATTACTGAACACCCAATCCCCCCCACATACACACACCATCACACCCCTAAATGGGGGGGGGGGGACAGACAGAGAGGGTCTGTCTGCTTTATGTAAATGAGGGTGTGAGGAGGTCAATCATTGTTTGACCCCAAGGTTCAGTCCAACTGGCTGCCCTGTGTCTGACCATGACCACGAAGGGTAGATTAGTCTGATCTGACCAAATATCCCTGATGAGATTTCAATACACAAGATGTAGCCAAAACATCAACATTTCCTACCATACAGTTATTGGATTTCCAGATATGTTCTTTGCCTGAGTTTAACACTTTTTTTATGAGAAGTGTAAATGTGGATCTTATGGAAACAGTTGCAAACTGCACATCTTGGTTAAAAGATGATACAGTGTTTTGAATCAGATGGAGACTTGAACAGCCAATACCTGCTAAGGAATAAATGCACAAGAGACAGTAGTGGGGTTCAGGGGATGAGTCAAATTTACTAACATGTTCAAGGTTAGTATTGAAAGGTTGTATTGGATTATCGTTGTGATTATTATGTTAAGTTTGTTTCATGGATAGCCATTGCCATTAATTGATCTTAAGTGGTGTATCAGAGAAAATAATGTGGGAGCTGACAAAAGTCAATATCATGAAGCCTGTCCTGTCCCCAAATTGCCTTACAGAGAAGTAAACTTCTGCGTAAAAGGAGAGCGAATAGGCTAGTCTCTTTATGCATCGGCTGAATGCTGCATCATGGTAGCACACCGTTGAAATCTGTGATCAAACA